AGAAAGTGTGCTAAATTGAATATTTCGAAATTTGGCTTTACCTCTCCTGTGTTGAATGCCCATAGCTTTGCCCCATTTTAAGCACAAAAGTCGCGGGTGACCGTAACACCACTAATTTGCTCTGTTTTAGTACTCATTCCATTACATTAAGAAATAACCCAAAACCCACGCTCCTGCCTGGGTTTCCCATTGGTCAGCATCGAGTCCAGGTAAACTTGAAATGCGATAACAATCAAAAAATACAGCCACTTGATGAATTGCACGGTATCCTTTCTCGATCACCAATTACGACCACACATTGTGTACCTTCGAGTTAAGCAAACAAATTAGTGATGCCATGGCAATAGACCTTTTTTGATCGTTTTGTGTCAATACGCAACAGAAGCCAAGTTCACAGACATATCTGTCCAGTTATAATAGTCAGCCTATCAGTAATATTTTAAACTTTCACCTTAATTCGCTTCGTTTATTGTGAGGAAGTGTAGCGACTCAATCAAAGACATTTTGCAGCATATTTGAATGAGAGGACTAGTCTTAAAATGACACGGTTTTTCGGATGCGTGGGAGTGTTCCTTATTGTGATTTGACAGCTCCTTATCAGCCCTCCTCCATATATAGCCAGAGCAACGCGCCAAACCTACCCCATCATAGCCGCCCATGGCCACGGCCAATCCATTAGGAACTTTGACACAAGTGTGCACACTAGCGCCTCAGTGAGACAGGGTAGACAAGTCAGCCTGATCATGCTGGTCCAGATGCGTTTCAAAGTGGCGGGTTCCAGTCCCAACCCTGCTCGAGTAAGGATTGTGGCCAGCGCAATTTGACGCAGAGCACTGGAGAGCTCCTTATTCACTCTTAACGTAGCAGCCAGTATGATCAATGGATCTGTCAACCGCTGAGTGGCATTTGTAATATTTTCTGACAAAACGGAGGGAGTGAAAGAGAAGAGAGGACTGTAAAAGACATTTGCAGTCTTGGTAGTAGCGTTGCCGGTGTTCTCAGTTGTTGGTGGCCCACCCATAGAAATTTCGTAGGGAGTGATGAAAACACTGATGCAGCGAAGAATAAGGCCACTCAGTAGCATACCTATGTGAAGGTTTAAAGTGAAATGGGATTTAAAAGTGGGGAAGAGACTTCAAGGTGGTGCAATATAGAAGGATGACATGGCATTTAGCTTACAATTTCGTTCACTTTTTTTGGACTTAATCCAGATACTAAGCATGCAATATTTTAAAGTTTATCAACCGCCCAAAATTTCAGCACAGAAGAAATTAGTTGACACCCGACATTTCCATTGCGACCTTTGGGTTTTTTGAAGGGGAATATATCACGCCCCTCATAAGTGGCCGAATCCACGTCAACGCAAAAGGTGCCGTTATGCTATTGAAGTAGGTGGATTGGAATCATTGCCATGTAATAAATTAAAGATCGACAATGAAAGTGAAAAGGTATGGAATAGGAGATCCCATATAAGGTTTTTCAAGTGAAGAAAATCGAGAAGATAGTAGCGCTATTCTTCGGATCCCTTAAGTCTTTTAGTGTGCAGTGAAGTTGATGAATTCAGGATGGCTCTCTCAGTGTAAAGATAATCCAATTTGTAGTCTTTGTCGTTGTCCTGCGATTACTTTCATCTCATTTGAACACGGGTGCAACGACCGATGCAATAGGAGGTACCCTGGAAACATCGAGCATAGGATTCAAAGTAAAACAGGAATTTCACGATCCAATCGTA